GAAATATTTGAGTTGGTGTATTTCTGCAAGATGAGGTTTTTGGGCCTGTTTTTTATTTTTATTTTTATTTTTATTTTATTTTTTTTGGGGGGTGGGGGTTGTTGGTTGTTTTTTTTAGTTGTTTTTTTTTTGTTGGTTTTTTGTGTGTTTTTTTAACTACTTTCTCGTCCAGTACTATGATGGTATATCTCTCATTTCCCCCCTCACTGAAGGACTTTGTGCGCACCCCTGTACGGTATGTTCACTTCTTCTATCGGCACTCTAGGTGTCGTCTGCCCACTGTCTGTTGCACTGATGGTTGTCATAGCAACGCTCGAGGCGTCCCGGAACCCGTGAGTGACATCATGTCCGGGAACTTCCTCCATCGCTCTTACTTCTATCACAAGTTCCGAGAACTGTTGTTAAGTCCCTTAGAACGGTTCCGAGTTTCGATGGGTGTGCAGATTCATCAGAAAGTCCGATCGAACACTGGTGAGACGATGAAATCGAACAATAATTTGATGAACAGTTGCTGTAGTGGCGTCGGAGAGATGGCTGCTGTTGCCATGACGACGGAAAGGCAACAAACGCAGCAGCGACGGTGCGTTTTCGATAAGTTTGATCAAACCGCGGAGAAATCGGATGACTCCGTGTCGAGGATACATTCCAGTCTTTGTGCGTCACCACTCAATTGGACATCGGATCGTCATATCGTGTCCTCAGACTTACGTCATAGTTCTACATTCCGTCCATCCACACACAGAAATGCAGCTATGTACATCGCGAGTCCAGATGTACAGGCTAGCGTAGACAGTGATAACTTTGATACGCGGGGTGCTGAAGAGAACGAAATTCTCCGAAAGCAGGCATCGAAAGTCGAATCGAATGGATGCTTTCAGAATTTGAGTCCGCGGCGCTTGGAGTCAGATTCGTCGTTTTCGTCTTCGCCGTCGTCGTTGTCGTCATCATCGTTTTCATCGTCGTCGAGATTATCTTCTCCATCGTGTTTTAATAAAACTTCTTCACCACAACGGCTATACGGGGCCAGTAAGAAAACAACACCCACGTTAGCCAATCAAAACCCGTCTCCACCGCCCCACCATTTCCCCATAATGAGGCGGTCTGTTCTATTATTAGCCTGCCTGTCCGTTTTGTTTGTTTGTGAGTCGAGCGCGTGTTACAAATTCCCTCCAGGAGTGAGAGATCCGTGCGAGGGTCACGTCTGCAAGTTTGGCGCGGAATGTCTGCCGTCCCAGGACGGAGAGAGAGCCAGGTGTCAGTGTCCCAACGACTGCCCGTCTTACGGAGATCACGTGGGCAGCCAGCAGATTTGTGGCAACGATGGCAAGGATTACGCCAACATGTGCGAGATGAGGAAAGCCGCCTGCTACCAGCTCAAGGACATTCGCATCAAGTACCACGGAAAATGTGGTAGGTTTTTTTCAGTTCCAGTCTCTTTTTTTTTGGTTTTGTTTGATACTTCGTTTGGGTTTGTTTGTTTGTTTGTTTGTTTGTTTGTTTGTTTGTTTGTTTGCTTGTTTGTTTGTTTGCTTGTTTGTTTGTTTGCTTGTTTGTTTGTTTGTTTGTTTGCTTGTTTGTTTGTTTGTTTGTTTGCTTGTTTGTTTGTTTGCTTGTTCTGTTTGTTTGTTTGTTTGTTTGCTTGTTTGTTTGTTTGCTTGTTCTGTTTGTTTGTTTGTTTGTTTGTTTGTTTATTTGTTTGTTTGCTTGTTTGTTTGTTTGTTTG